AGACAGACAGACAGAGACAGGCAGACAGAGACAGGCAGACAGGCAGACAGGCAGACAGACAGGCAGACAGGCAGCCAGGCAGACAGGCAGACAGGCAGACGGGCAGACAGGCAGACAGGCAAACAGGCAAACAGACACACAGACACACAGACATAGACACACAGATACACAGATACACAGACACACAGACACACAGACACACAGACGGACAGCCGGACGGACGGACGGACAGACACACACTTGCTTAGTTGGAGGCGTGCAGGACATGGCAAGTAGGCTGTCAGCCAGTTTACTTAGCCCCGTGATCCTCGTAGTATTATCTCTGTTTATCGACCACACACGTCCATACCGCAGAAGCTGATGAGGAACCCTGACATAGACTCCCAATTGTAAGTAGGATCAAACTCCTATTGTACGGACCCCCGAATACAATGACCAAACATTAAACAAGGCAGGCTTGCTCTGCGGACAGGGAGGCCACATAGTGAGCCTGATTTGTCTCCTCCTGCTCCTTGAAGAAGAGCATCTGCTTCTCCTTGTGGCTTCGTGGCAGTTAGGTTTAGGGGTGCAACTGTTACACATGCAAAATCTGGGTGGCACCCTGCACCAATATGTGGAAACGGCAAGAGACAGCAAGACTGTGACTAAGAAGTGGCCTATGATGGTTTCACCATCACGGGTTGCTCTACTTTATGCTCCACTTGAGGGAAAGTCCCCATTCTCTAAAGGCACTCTCAAGCAGCCCCACATGATAGTCGAACCGTTGCAAGCTTCATGGCAGCACCAGTTATGAATTCTGAATTCCTGAAGCCCCTCCCACTGAGGCAAAGACATAGTAGCGCTTCCGGCTCTGAATCTTGTAGTACCTCGCGCCAAGTCGGAAGATTCTGAGAAGATCGCTTTTCTGGCTCTGGGAGCCATGTGGCTGTGTTATATGAGGGCGGGGTTACCTCATGCAGACAATTTCAAAGGCCCCACAAGGATACTGCTCCTTAGGGCCTTAGGGTTCTTTGGTTTACGGGTCCCCTCTTTTCCGAAACTCCCACGGCCCGAGATTCCGGATTCAGAATACTCCAAATGGTGTCAACATGCGGCAATGGACGCGTACGCGATTTAGGTTAAGGGTTTAGGGGTGTATCTATCGGCGACCCAGCGCTCTGTAGCTACAAAACCAAGTAGTGGACAGTTCGGCGCCAAACTCGCAACCTGCATACAGGGGCCTCAATCATCAGAAGACCGATCTGGGGTGTGATGTATAACATAGTATAACTATAACCTTGAGCCTCTTAGGCTTCTGTAGTAGTCCTGTTTCATCGATCTCCCAATCCCGAGGCATGGGCTCATGGTCGAAGCACATGATGTTAAAGGTCCGGCCGACCTCGAAAGGCTTCGGGAACAGAGGGTTTAGGTACGACTTTGAGGCTATGGCGGCTATGGGGTTTCGGCTCAGAAGCTCTAGGGGTTGCAGTTGTTGCATGCTCCGGGGTGGCGGTTTTCGGGAAAGGAAAGTTGCGGGTTTGCGGGATTGAGAGGTTCGGGAGTTCTGGCGAAGGCTGACCGGGTAAAGTATGCATAGATTTCAGCAGCTCCAAAGTTTGTTTTCTGTGACGGTTCTGCATATTACCAAGCAAGAAGGGAAATTAAAAAATCATCCCAACACGATACCCAGCTATGACTTACATGAAGGGACCAAAGGCCAGGCCGGTAAGTGCCGCCCGAACTGGGAATGCGATCTCCGGAATACGGGGGCGTTCTTGATAATCAGTCTCTGGCATTGGGATAGGTTCATGCACTGGCCAACAATCACAGGGAATCCTGAGGATGCACAACAGGGCCAGCAACGCTGCAATTATGCCGGCCATGGCAAAAAACAGTAACGGCATGGCATGCACGAACCGTAGGCCCCGGCATAGACGAGGCCAGAGAGGATCACACCCGCCGCTGCGCCGTAGGCCAGGGAGTAAAGCGGCGTGCCCTTGGCAGGTGAAGTTGGAATTTACCAAATTCTCGCGGCATTGAGGCTAGTCCCTGCGTTTTGCTTGTGGCATGGCTCTGACGGGAGGGGAATTTTGGAAGCAGCCCTGAGGAGTCTAAGCGCCAAGCATCCCAAGTCCAACAGATTGCGGTCATCCCTGAGCACCCTCTACGACGACTCCAACACGTTTGCAAAGATTCCGAGATTCACTGCCATGACCTATGGCCATGGTTTAACCTGACAAATATTTCTAGCAGAGTTGCAAACAAGTGTGCATGAGCTGACGGAAACTGGCCCCCAGAAAAGGAATCAAGGTGCAAGATCGGGCGCCGAGCCGCCCCAACTCCATGAGTGAAAAGCCTAAACCCACAGCCCCTAAACTGAGCTGAGCCCTCTCCCGAAGAAAACACACACGCACACACAGCCGCCTAACCCTGAACCCCTAAACCACGCTGGAAACAGTTGTGTCCGAGCTGCCACCTTGACCTTGCTGAGAGCGAAGGTGCTGGCCCGAGTGAGGAAGGACCTGGTTCCGTACTTGGGCTCGTCTTTCTGTAAGAGGTTCTAGAGACTCCAAAACCCCTTATTAATTTAGGATTATGCTTATTTAAGTTAGTGTACTCGTACTGAGCTCCCGGACAAAAAAAATAAGCTATAACAGGATCCCTAATAAGATTCAAGGTATTAGTCTACTCCTTCATAATGGGGTTTTGGAGTCTCCAGGGTCTCCGGAGGTCTGAGACTTGCTGGCTCAAGACTTGGAGTCAGGCGACCTCGCCGAGAACCTGCCACCCGACAGAGGGAGAGGGGGCAGTAAAGGGCAGTAAAGCTACATCCAAACCAGGAGCTATGCCATATGCTGGCAGACCCTGAATCCGAAGCCCTAACCCTACTTGGTCCTAAAGTGAATCACTGAGGCTGGAACCGAGAATCCCGTACAGTACTGTCTAAACCTTTGGCCTACCAGACACGAACTGCACACAAAATCCTGATCCCTAAGCCCAGCATCGCCCGTGAACCCTGCACACCTTAAGCCGCCCACCCTAAAACCGTAAGCATTAAACCCCACAGCCCTCAGCCCTACAGCCCAGCACGGCCACTACGTCCAAGCCCCCGGCGGCTTGGCGGAAGCTTCGATCTGCTCTGCCATGGCTCCTGAAGGTACCCTAAACCCTAAACAACAAGGGGGTTCAAGGGCTTAAGGTTTGGTTTGGGTTTAGGGTTTAGGGTCTGGTCCTGTGCGTCTTGGAGGATCAGGGAAGCTCAACTTCTTTCTCTATGAGTGCTTCTTTAAGGGTTCAAGAAGGGCCTAAGGGTCAAGGGACTAGCGGTTTCGTTGACAACTCCATACCGAAATCTGACTTGGGCGCAGGTCTGAAAGCTTTTATGGCCTGGTTCGGGCGCAACCGGGGTTGATGAGCACAGCCCGAAACCCCAAATCCTTACATCTTCAACCCCCCCAAACCGTACTTCCAAAATCCTAAATCCTGTATGCTCACACCTAGCCCCCAAACCCAACACCAGACTGAGATCCCAGAAACCCCGACCCTTGTATCCTGAACTCTAAGCCCTAAACCTTATCACCCCTCTCAAACCCTGAATCCTGTCGAAGAAACTCCAACCCTCCCCAACCTGCAGTGTCATTGTATTGGCATAATGTAGGGGCCTGAATACTGGCCTGAATGATTAGAATAGGGTTTTGGGGTCCATTATACTCTAGGTATATTCAGGAACCCCCAAAATAGTACTGGTAATTGTTTAGGCCCCTATATTCATTCGTTACTCTGTCTATATCTTCGCCTCCAGTTGCAGCAGCTGCCCAGCAAAGATGTCGGGAGGTCGGCGACTGGTCGCTGCTCTGAGCCAAGAATGACGAATCGAAAGGCTGGAATCGAAACTCGCTCGACATGGTTCTTCTCCATCCTGCGAGAAATCAATATTATTGCCGCTAAGAAGTCGCTGTTCATGTTAAACCGGGATTCTGCCACCGGGAAGAAGCTGACAACACCCCTACAGTACCAGCAAGCACTTTTGTCGCAGGTCGGCTCTCGCACAAACTCAGGAGGCAGGTGCTGAAGCCAGGTCCCTCTGTGGTTGTGACAGCTCGGGGTAAACGATTGCAGCATACGGATTGCATGCCAGCTCAGGGTCTGCAGAGCTACCAGGCTTCAAGCGTGCGACAACCTCCCCTGTGCCCTACTGGTACCTAGTGTCGGTACGTCTCGCGACGCGAAACTCTGCGAGCAGTAAGATCTTTGGCTCTGCGTGCATCTCCACCGTTCACCCGGCTGACTTGAGCGGGGAGCAGGAAGCCACTCGTAAGAACGTCATGAGAAGCAGACTCCGTAGCTTCGACTGGATGCTGACCCCAGACAAGTGACAAGCTCCCCCAAGCTCGCAGCCAAAGCTTTAACGGGGGTCCTCCGCAGCACAAACTGCCCCCAAGCCTTGCGCGAATTCTTCGTGCACTTAAAACGAACCCGGATCGTCCAAGCTCAGCTTCTCTCCACAATGTCTCCCAAAGTCACGGGCTTCCGGAACCGCTCCGAAACCATGGACCAAGGGCGGCGCGAAGGTGCCGTGAAAGCAGCAAAGGAGTCGTAGATATTCTGGGACGCATTCCAGGACTTGAACCTGTTGGAGTGACTGAACTTCGATTGTCTGGGCTTACACCCTCACATCTATGGTTTCATCTCGACTTCAGGCCTGCCCGATGCATCATGTACCACCAGGCCGATTTGAGCAGCGCCTGTGATGAAAACGCCACCACCTCAAGCGTCAAGATGTGAAGGAGAAGCTGTTGTGGGAGGTGTATGTCTTACATCTACTTGAACATGCAATGTGATGGTTTGATGTCGCTGTTGATACTGACATTCTAGTCGAAGCTCTTTTCAGCGAGCCGAAGCCCCAGCAGGATTTGCCTAACCTGCTAAGGGTTCCAACAAAGGGTTCGTAAGGGTTGTACCTGTTGTTGGACGGATGGGGGATACGTGTATGTAAAAGCATTATAAATAGACATGCGTACATATATATATATACACACACATACATACATACATACATACATACATACATACATACATACATACATACATACATGCATACATACATACATACATACATACATGTAGTCATTCATATACCTGTGGGCTTACTAGTACCTACCCTTTGAGAGCTCTATGAAGCCCGTCTGATAAGACCATTCCAATCTTGCAAAACAGTACTATGAATGTAGGGGCCTTAACGATTGGAATAGGGTTTTAGGGTATAATACAGCATAATTGTAACAAGAAACCCCCAAAATAGCATTGGTCCTTAGTTAGGCCTCTATACTACCCGGCAAACACCTCTAAAGGCCCAGAAAATCTCATCCCTGAAAGCACGACTCGCGTTTATAGACTGAAGCCTTTGACCGATTTAGGGTTCAGGGTTTAGGGTTACCCATAAAACCCAAATCCCCGAATTCCGAAATCCCGAAACCCTGAAGCCTCTTCAGGCAATAGTGGTAATCATAAGAACAAGAAGGAGGACATGGGCGCGATGGTCATCTCCAAGGGACGGCCGAGAGGTCGCGAACCGCCCTCAACGAGGCTGAAATTCTTCTCGTTGTTCGGCCCACGTTCCAGCGCCAGCCTAGCAGTTTAGGATTTAGCGCGTTACTGCTTCAGGGCTTTAGGGCTTAGGGTTTAGGGCTTGGGGTTTGCAAAGTTCTAGGATTAGGGCTTTGTTGATCTAGGTTTAGGATCTAAGGCTTTAAAGACCTAGGGTTGAAGGCTACAGGAGGTCTAGGATGCCTGAATAATTCGGCTAGGGCTCACTAAACACTAAACCCCAAAACCCTATACGAGAACAATCGGCCCTGGGGTTTGAGGCACAAACCGATGTTACAGGAGCATGCAGACGAATCTTAGGCTTTAGAGTTTAGGACGAAGTTTTGCTGCAAAAAATGAAGAAACATCAGCAGCTAACCCTGAACCCTAAACCCTAAACCCCCAAGCCATCATCTGCGAAAGTACTTCATTGGGAAGTACAGTTACCAACATTACTCTTAGGGTTCCTTGTGGTATTTATACTATAAAGGAGCCTCAAGTCCTATTCTAGTTATTACGGCTCCTTTACTGTGTCAATCGGCCTTTCCAAGTTGCCCTGAGCCCGAATCCGAACGCCCCAAAATGCAAAAAGACTTACTGCAGATCATGGCTTCGGGCTTTGTATTTAGGGTTTAATGTTTAGGGTTCCTTTGTGGGGTTTAGGGCTTTGGCTTGCAGGTTTGGGGTCCCATTGTAGGATTTGGGGTAGGGCTTAGGTTTAAGATTTAGGGTTCCCTTGCAGGGCTTCGGGCTTAAGGTTTAGGGTGGTTCCCTTGTGGGGCTTAGGGCATAAGGTTTAGGGTTCCTTTGTACGGTTTAGGGTTTAGGGTTCCTTTGTAGGAAAAGATGCTCCGTGGCAGGGCAGATGAGAAGTTGAGGATCTGCAGACTTCCTGAGAGCAACCCCAGATGGCCTGGTATAGTCCGTTGCAAAGACGTCATCTGTCAATGCGGCATTGCTTTTCCTTGGCTCCAACTTTGACTTTGCTCTTCTTTCGGCATCAACATGAATCAAATCCTTCGACGCACGACACCCCCGGCCTGCCCCAGCCCCAGCCCGTCCAAGTAACCGTTTTTGTTCAATGGAGGGCTTTAAAGCCTAGCCAACCTGCAAAACGAAATGTCTGTATAACTAACGAATATTCAACAGTACCCTGCTCAGGTTCCGTGGGTGTGTCTACACCTTCCTGAACCCCACTTCTGACCCTCTGGGCCGCTGCAGGATAACCTAACTTTCCGCTTTGGCATGATGGAAAACCATGCCGAAACCGCCGCCAGAGCATCGGCACCAGACGGACTCGGAAGTCCCAGGCGATGCTGAGGCCGTTTGCGGAAGAAGCCTGTTGCCGCAACAACCAACCCAAATGCTCTTTTTCCGTCGCACCAAGTGCTAGAGCACGACACCGCATCAACACGAGTAGTAGAACATGCGAAGGCCAATACCGATACACCGGCATCCACATGAATGGTCATCACGATCGTTGTTGTTGTGCACCGTCGTTATTGTCAGCATCACCACCACGACCACCATCATCGTCATCCTCGTCCTCATCCTGATCCTCATCCTCATCACAATCACCACCATCCTCATCATCATCATCACCATCATCATTGCTTTAGTCCTCTACATCGGCATTGTCATAAACAACACCGTCGTCATAATCGTCATTTTCTTCTAAGTCATCCTCACCGTCATCTTCTCTGCGCACCCTCATTCTGATGACGATCAGCACCATCACCAGAGTCATCAACATCTCCCGCAGTAGCAGGGAAGTGGCATAACCGTCATCTCGCAGCCAGCAGCAGCAGCCAAAAAAAAGATGTTCAACCCGACTCCTGCAGCATTGTTCTTGATGTTGGTGTTTGGCGCGGGCTCATGTAGTGTTCGTATTGCCATCCTCTCAATTGGCTGAACTCCGGCAGGCCTCTTGGGACGCTCCCTCGGTCCAGTTTCCGTTGTTGTTGAAGAGCGTAATCCACCAACTGCCGTCTTCCTGCGGGTCGGGATTCCCGGAGTCTCCGAAACCCCTAAATGAAGGCATATACTCGAGACATTTTAAGGACCCCTTGACAATCCAAGGTATACAGCTTGCTTTAAGGGTTTTGAAGTCTCGCGGTTGAAAGAGTGGCGATTCGGGCGTTTTGGTGCCATGCTGACAGAAGAAGGGGTTGGTCCAGTCCTCTTCGAGCCGTTTGACTTTTTAGGGCTTACGGGTTGCTCTTTGAAGGTCTCTCTTCGACCTTCGGCAGTATGCAGGGGCCCCAACCGCAGCGAACCCATGCCCAAGAGTTCATCCGAATGACAAGGTCCATAAAAGCCTTCAAGCGCCTTCTGTTGCCCGCGATGTAGTCTAGGTGTTACGCTGACGGGCCAGCTTTTTGGAATTCTGGGTCGGGTTTAGGTTCCCATCGTCGGCCTGTTCTGCCAACTCGGGCCTTGATTCGGAGCGGAAAAACCCACACCAGTTTGGTGATATTGGTGGCTTCCGAGGAAACAGGGAGTCTGGGCGGTCTCGCCCCCTACTTCAAAACTAAAAAAACTCCCAGATCAAAAGCGAATCTCGACATAGCCGTCGAGAAGCGCGAGGGATGCCACTCTTCGGCACTCGCACAGATCTCCCTGCAGTCCCAGCTCCAGAAAGCGTGGAACCGACTGGCCACGGGCAAAGTCTGCTGCGGTCCAGCCCCGACAATTGCAGAGGTCCAGTCTGGCGCCGGCGGCGATCAGGGCTGCGGCAGCGTCGAATTGAGCCGACCTGATGGCCTGCATCAGCGGCGTGCTGCCATGCAAGTGATAGGCCAAAGTCGTCAAAACAGTTGCGCGGCCGAGCTGGAACTGCAAGGACTTCCCTGTCAAGAACAGCCTGCCAAAGGCTCTGCAGTCTCGCGGCATGTTCATTTGAAAGTCAATGTCGGCGCGGAGGCCGATCAACCGCTGAGCCAGCTCTGCCGAGCCACCTCGAAGTAATGTCGTCTTCCAGAGTGCTCGTGAAAGGTCCAGCTTGTCTGGGGGACCCTGCACCAGTAGCTCCTCCAAAGCTGCTGCGGCTCCGTGACCTGCTGCCATCTGCAAGATGGTGAAGCCAAAGCTGTTCCGGGCCAGTGGCCTAGCACCTGCTGCACACAGGAGACGGACACCTTCCGCGCTGTCCGACATGGCCGCCATTTGGACTGCCGGGAAAAGGACACCTTCAACGTGCGCATTCGCCGCGAGCAACAGCCGTGTGGCCTCGTGGTGCTTGAAGAACACCGCCAGATCCAAGGCCGACATCCAAGGCGGGAAGCCCAGCATCGGCTCATCCTTCCACGTGCGCCGGTTCACGTTGGCACGCTTCTCCAGCAGCCCTCTCAGCACCTCTGCATTGCCGGCCAATGCTGCGTAGTGCAGAGGCCACCACCCTGCGCTGTCCACCTCACCGACCCTTCTCAAGCCGTTTTGGTGTAGGAACTCCACCACCACATCAGCACCACCCGCAGGGCTGGGAAGCACACCGGTCACCGGCTCGATCTCCAGCCCTCGCAGGTGGACCGTCTGCAGGTTGAGGTGGCGCCGGAATCCGGGCAAGTCGCCCACTCGCAGGCAATGAAGCAGCTTTTGGATTAAGATCTGCCGCATCACGGGAGCCAGCTTCTGTCGATCCTCCTCGATCTCGAAGTCGCCCTCCCCAACGGGGCCACTCGGAAAGGACCACACTGTTCCAACAACTTCAATGGAGGCTTCGCTCTGGATCAGAATCCAAGCGCTCTTTGGCGACAGCTCGCGCGCGGCTCGTTCTAGGCGGCACCACCCCCTGCTGCTCCAGGTCCTTGCTGTTAAGACCTTGCCCTGCAAGGGGCAGTCGACCACCGGACACAGGGCAAAAAAGAAGTGGCAGTCACTGATGTAGCCGTGTATGCTGCTGATGGCTCTGGCTTGGTGGAGGTAGTCCGTCTCGTCGCATGCTTGGCCTTGACAAAGCACCTGCGGGCATGAGAAATAATCGTACCAGAAATACAAGGTATCCAGCTGGAAATCCTGCATAGGAAGAGGCTTTGCCGTTTGGACAACGCCCTCTGTAACGAAATCCAGCGAAAGGGATCCAGCGCTGGTCAGAATTCTTTTCAAGGCATTCTGCAAGGTACGCATCTGCTTGAAATCCGGATCTGGGTGGTCCTTGGCAAGCCACTGATGTGAAACGAACGCTGCCTTGCCCAAGTCATCGCTGAAGACGACGAGCTCCCCCTTGGCCTTCAAACTTTGAAGCGCAAAATTTCAGCAGCTGTCGCCAGACAGCAAAACATCTAAACTTACGATGACTAGCTTTTTCACGATTGTACAACCCCCTCCCCTGTTTTGCTTGGAGGACGGGGAGAAGGGGCCCTTGAGGTGGATTTCATGCTAGGACTGCGTTGTCCGGCTCCCATGGGGGCTGTAAGCACCGTAAGCAAGTGCTTCTCAACCTGGCAACGCATGAAGCCCTTCAATGGAACAGCCTGACTCCACAGTGCTCTTGCCTTCAACATCTGGTGGGGCTCGACCCTCGTCATCTTCAGCAGCACATCCGCAGCTACAGTGTACATGGGAAAGTGCATCGGAGCAGCCTGAGAAACGGGAATCGTAACCGACCCACAAACCCCCAGGGCCTTCTGCTTAAGTCCATGAGTCGCTGAGGCAAGACTTCTGCTGCTACAAAGGCCTTTATCATCAGTATCGGTTTTCCGGGTTCAGGCTTTCGGGTTACCACAATAAGTATTCCGGCTTGTCTGTTACGTGAGGTGTGGCGCCCAGCGGCGTCTGCATCATTGGGCAACGATCGGCCGTAGATCTCGAGCGGCGTCCGGTGCTTTCCGAAAATGCAGGAAGACATCTGCTCAAGTCACAACAGACGACAAGCTGAAACTGAACAACGAGGGAGCCCAACCCCCCCCTTCCAAACCTGGCAGGGCGTGGGGCTTAATGTAGGGGCCTTAATGATTTGATTCTAGGGTTTGGGGGGCAAATTAGAGGAAGGAGCCCCCCAAAATAGTACAGGCAATTCTTGAGGCTTCTATATGTTAGGTGCCTTATCTTGACTGCGATGTGAGGTCTCGAGGTCTCACAGGAGGCCAAGCCCAGCGCTCTGCTTCCAGAGGTGTCCAGGCCTGGCCTTGGGCCGAGACACCAGGGAAACAAAAAACTTAGCGTAGCTCTAATTTCGGTTTAGGGTTTAGGGTTTAGGGTTTAGGGTTTAGGGTTTAGGGTTTAGGCTATAATGACCTGCAAATGAAGCATCACAGAAATGCAGAGTAGTAAGTAGTACCAATAACAGGAAGAATAGCAGCAATGGTGGCAGCACTAAGAAGACCATGCTGATGGGACGACTGAGACTTGTGCTACTGCGAACGAGCAGTGTGGTTGGATCTCTACATTGTACTATGCTAAGATCGCTTCTGTTAGATCGGTATCGATGCGTATGTCCGCTGTACTAAGCGACTTATGGCCTATGCGATACGACACTGAATTACACATTGCTTTGTGGTTGACGGTCTTGCTTGATTTTCGTTGCTCATGTACACTGCATCTGCAAACTGGCGCCTGGTCAACACAGGCTATACTTTGCGGACTCTGCTTTTAGTTGCCTTGATCTCATGCAACTTGTATTAGACCAAACGATGCTGCATTATGCTGTGCTGCAGTTCAAACCAAAGATACCGACACTGTAATCTAGGGCACCTGCATTAGGTGGCGCACAATCCGAGATTGTAGTTCTCTACACCGGAATATGCTTCTCTCGTCCTAGTGAATCGGGCATCATGCGGTAATTCTAAACCGATGACTGTACAGGCTATGCTAGATAGACGCAGACTAAATAGTGGGCGATAATATGCTGCTGTGTAGTATTCTGTGCCATCCTGTAGTGCGACATGCCATACAAACTTTGCTTGCTGCATATACTCAACGACACCATATCGCCCACTCCAGGAGACTGCTGCGTACTCTAGTGCACAGTGTAGCAATATCCCGCAGCATCTTCCATGCTGAATGTCAACGACGGCCGATCTAACCGTCCGTACATGCACAGCTTACCTGAATGCAGTGCTGATGATGCTTGTTGGCTTGGCATAACATCTATAACCTAAAATGGGGGCCTCAAGGATTGGAATAGAGTTTCGGTGGTATTACAACTAAGAACCGCAAAATAGCATTGGTATGTTTGTTAAGCCCGTCGAAGTTTTGAAGGTAGAGGCTGCGGTTCCTAACCCAGCATCCGAGACCCTCAACTTCCTACACCGTCAGCCCGCCACAAAACCTTAAAGCCCCCTAAACCCTACAGCCTAAAGTCCGTCAACTCTGCCACAAAACCTTAAAACCCCTGATGTCCGAATCCCAAACCCCAAAGCTTGAAACCCTAAACCCTAAACCCCTAAAGCCCTGAGCTGAAAGCTTCAGGTGGAATTCACGAAGACAAACTTTCAAAATCAAAAGAAGAAAGCCACGAAAACGTTTTTGGTAATTCAAGTCAAAAAACAATAAGAAACGAACATGCTGTTTCAATCCAGGTTGGAAGCCAGTTCAATCCACGTTCACCCAGGTTCAAATCAGGTTCAAGACCTTGGGCGGTTCAGGGCTCAGGGTTCAGGGGTTAGGGGTTGGCGTTAAGAGTATTTATGACTAGACTAGGTGCCTCAATAGGAACTATAAGGGAAGTTGTTGAAGCTACCTAAATCAGGGCGCCGAGGTTTCGGTGGTATCCGCAACCGGGAGGCGCAAACCGTGCCGAAGCCCTGAAGCTAGATCTTCGAAGATCTCTTAATTGAGCAAGGAATACGCCTCAAGTAGGATCCCTCGTATGATTTAAAGAGGTTTCGCCTTTTTTGTTCGTTTAAGGGATCTTGGAAGATCTGGGAACGCCACATATCTCACAGCCTAAAACCTGAACCCTGCGGAATCAAACTCCAAACCTGGGCCTTCCTCCCCTACTGGACTTCGCTGCGGCTTCCCAAAAACCACGGGGCAGTTCTCTGAACTAGTGTC